CTTGCCCGCCTCCCTCCCTCGGGCGCTGACCCTCCTGTGGTTGTCTGCAGCGGTGATGGGAATGCCCAACCCGAGTCAACGGGACCTGCTGATGCGCCTGGAGGTGTCCAAGCAGATGGGCGGCGACGCGGCGCTCACGCCGGCCGAGCTGCGATTGGACGGCAAGCTTCAGCGGCTGAAGGAGCGCGAGATGGCGGCCGAGCCCTTCCCGCCCGCCGTCCACTTCTTCAAGGCCCGGAGCCTCATACGTGCCAGTCAGGTCTTCAAGCTGCTGCAGGAAATGCCCAAAGGTGACCTCGCAATGCCGAGCGAGACACGTGCCTTCACACCAGCGCTACCATGTATCCAAATGTGTCCTTGTCCCAACACATTTTTGTCAAAATGTATTTAGTAGTCTTCATCTTCACATTGTGCCTTAAAGGACTGAGAGGAAAGCATCTCCACTCAATTGTGCTGTGCAAAAAAAAAAAAAAAAAATGTGTGAATCCTGAGAACCCTTCGGATTGTTTAAAGTATAAAAATGGATTTGTGAATGCTGAGAGACAAGCATGTCCACTATTCTGTGCTTGATTGGTTATTGCGTAAATGCTGAGGAATCAGCATTCACACTAACGCAATTGTGTGTTCTGGAATGCTGAATATTGCCTGTGTGGATGCTTAGAGACGAGCATTGTCACCCGCAGGCGGCGCCCTGCACATCCACAGCACATCCCTGGCGAGTGCCGAATGGCTGGTGAAGAACGTGACGTACCGGCCGCACTGCTACATCTGCTTCACGTGGGACAACTCGGTGCGCTTCATCTTCTCTCAGCGATGGCCGTACCCGCGCTGGGACTGCTTCTACTGGCAGCTCCTCAGCACACTCCGAGCCAAAGCGAGCGACCTCAACGCCTTCGACGAAAGGTACCGCCCGCCCACCAACCCGTAATTTCCCTGACAGGAGCAGCTCACTAAATTTTGATCGCTTTCAAGCTTGATGCGGCATCTCACGCTGGTCACCGACGACCCGGACGCAGAGTACCCAGACCAGAACGCTGCGTGGAGCAAATTCGAGAGTGCCTTCATTGCCAGTGCCGGGCTGGTTAGCCACGCCCCCGTCCTGAGGGATAGCTTCCTACAGGGCCTGCACGAGCTGCACCAAGACAACGTCATGTATCTGGAGCTGCGCAACGGCCTGTCCAAGGTCTGTTTTTGCTCTTGTCTCAGCATTCGTGACTAATATTGTTTTGAAGGCGTCACCAAAAAATATTCTCACATTCAGAAAAACAATATTTATCATGTCAATGCTGAGCACCCAGCATGTCCTTTTCTGCTTTTTTTGAGGTCTTGAGAAGCGAGCAAGACGACACGTGATGTATTTCTCGCATCTCCTTCCAGACGTACGAGCTGGACGGAACCGTCCACGACAAGATGTGGACGCTGAAGACTTTTCAAGACGTCACCAAGCAGTTTGTGGCCGATCACCCGGACTTCCTGGGCGCCCGCCTCATCATAGCCGTGCACAGGTACGCGCAGGCCAAAATGCCTTCATTCCGATGGATCACCGCTCAAACCGTCAACCGCTTCCAGGTCATCGAGCGCATCGGAGGTGAAGGCGGCCGTGAAGGAGGCCGTGGCGCTGCAGAAGGACTTCCCCGACGTGGTGGCGGGATTTGACCTGGTAGCAACCGAGCTTTTTGGCCGTCGCGAGGTGACCCCTTTGGTAACTCTGCTCTTGTATGGCAGGTGGGCAGGGAGGACACCGGCAGTCCGCTTTGGTACTTCCGGGACGCGCTGGAGCTGCCCGCCCAGCTGGGTGTCAACCTGCCTTACTTCTTTCACGCAGGTGAAACCGGTAGGTTGATGGAGATCCTTTCAGCCCGCTCAAACCTGAGGTGGAAAATAATTTTTTCCCCTCAATATTACAACTGCGATTTAATTGTTGATTTTTTTTCCCCAAAATGAATCTGTATGACAATAATATCAAATTTACTCCTGTCTTGTGACTGAATTTTTATTCTTCCACTTGACACTCTGCAGACAGGGAGGGCACGGAGGCGGATCAGAACATTATGGACGCCCTCCTTTTTAACACCAGCCGTATCGGGCATGGCTATGCCCTGGCGCGCCACCCGCTCGCCAAGGAGATGTCCAGACAGAGGAAGGTGGCGGTGGAGGTGTGCCCCATCTCCAACCAGGTCCAGTACAACAACCAGCCTTTAGTTTGCTCATCCTTGCCATTCATTGACAATACATTTCACACAATGACTATTCCTAATTTTATGTGATATTATGTGATGCGATAAGTATAAAAAAAAAAAAAAAAAATCAAAATTTAACATTTCATTTTTTTCCTCACCAATGCTTTGGCAAATGTGTCCTGCAGGTCCTAAAGCTGGTCTCAGACCTGCGCAACCACCCGGGCGCAGTGCTGATGTCGGAGGGCCACCCGATGGTCATCAGCTCAGACGACCCGTCCATGTTCGGCACATCGGGCTTGTCCTATGATTTTTACCAGGCCTTTGTGGGCCTTGGCGGCATGAAGGCCAACGTGGGCACGCTGAAGGAACTGGCACGCAACTCTCTCAGGTGAGGCGCGCGTCAGGTCGCGGGCGGTCGGGTGTCGGCGCCGTCCGCTAACGTCGGCTTCCTCGTGACCCCGCAGGTACAGCTCGCTGCCGGCGCCGCTCAAGGACGCCGGACTGGCCGCGTGGCAGAGGAAATGGGACGCTTTTGTTTCGGCTCACTCTTGAAACCCCAGCGGAATCTTTTTGAACACTTAATGGACCTGACTTTCGACATCACGCTTTGGTGAAGCTTTGTCAGGCCTGAACAATCACAGAGGCAACTTTTTGATCCACCATGTAACCACCAACAATCATTAAGCAAATAAAAAGGACATCAAGCTCACTGGCCGATTGAACCTGAATAATTACAAATCTTTGACTTTTATTTTCACTTTATTTTCATCCAACAAAAGTAGAAAACAATTTCATAATTTACACATGTTAAAAAAAAAAAAAAAGAAACTTGTCATTCCTCATGTGATCAGGTGGCCGCGTTGCTGGGGTGCAGCGGTTTGACTCGAACACGTCGGGACAGTCCCAGACGAAGACCTTGACCGGGGGACCTGGCGGGAGTACTCTGGGATGAAGGTGGACTTTTTCCAATTTGACCTGCGAGGTGAAGCAGAAAATTCACAACACTTTAGTTTTTTTTCCCTCTCCATATTCATGCTTGAAATAATTGTCAGAACCTGGTGGGGTCCATTTAGGAATCCTGCTTCCTGTTGGACTGACTGAGACTGGCGGTTTGGATACGGCGGGTTTAAGCGTTGGGGGGCTTCTCGGCGTGGGCGCAGGGTGCGGTGCAGATGCTTAAAAGACAAGTGTCGAAGTTTTTTTTTTTTTTTTTTTTAAACAAACATTACAAAACATCGCTGAACACAGGCTGGAATTTGGTTGTCTCCAAGGGGCGGGGCCGGTTGAATTTCACTTGTCACATATTTGCAGTTCAGCATTTGCAGATTGTCCTCTTCAATTTTTTTGTGCTCATGCCAAAAGGAAAAAGTTTAAGTTTGGTGCTCTTTTTGTAACATCGAGGAGGAACTGCGTTGGAGTTCGATTTAGCTAAAAATTGCATTTTGCCACCGTCTTGTGGCATCTTGACGTCAAGGAACTATGGTGAAATGCATTGAGGATTTCACACTGAGACAAATATCATACTTTCAGTTGGCCGCCATATATCGGCAATCATCAACCTTTAGAAGGGGCGCCGATTGCCGTTTTTTGTTGTTCCTGTAAAACAAATTGAAATCAAATTGAACCTGTCCGGGGTTGAGCTTTCAGCTTGGGTGGCTGTCTTTCTTTTTTGCTGCCGGAACGCTTGTGAGGCTTGTGGTGGTCACTCTCCTTCTTTTTCTGGCTCTTCTTCTTCACGGTGAACTCCTCGTCCTCACTGATGTCCTCCTCGCTCTCCGAATCTGAAACTGCAGTCGTAATGAGACACACAAATGCGTCCAACAAGGACACAACGGAGGGGCTACCTTGCGTCCGTTTGGGCTCATAGTCGTCATCGTCTTGAGGGTGTTTCCTGTGCCTCTCCTCAGAGATCTTATCCAAGCCTGAAGGAAATTTGAATTCAATGACTTTTTTTTTTTTTTAAATAGAAAACAACAGTTAGATGAAGCTTTTACCCAAAAGTGATGAGTCCACACTGCAGTTGGAGCGCCGAAGGTCAGCGGGATCTGTGTTCTCGTCAGCTTTAAACCACAATGAGTGATGGATTTATTTAAAGGCTTTTCACACTCACACAAACACTTGATCGTACCGTGACCAGCAGGAGGCGCTACTTTCGTCTCGTCTGTGTTAATGTTATTGAGCAAGGAGAGTGTAATTGCGGCCTCCAGATCTCGAGTCATCAGCTTTTGTTCTAGAGCTTTTCTGGAATTCAGAGAGAAGTCATACAACTGGAAGTTTTGCTCTTGTCGTTCATTTTGTATCCTGCTTTACCTGCTTTTGTTGCTCTCTTGGCTTGGTGTGTTCCTTGGCTCCTGATGTTTGAGTTTCTTGCCAGGTGGGGGCTTCACACAGGCGAAGTCTTCATCTGACATTTAAGAATCAAGTTTATTTATAAAAGCAAAAATCATGAATGCCAGCAAATCACGTCAATAACCTTTTTGTAATGTACATTAACCCCGGTCAGATTTGGGGAGGGGGGGGGGGGTTCTTGATCGTACTGGCATGCCTGCAGATAATACTGTATAGCTGGTTTGCATGTATGGATGGCTCGTACTACACACGTCTACACTGCGTTCCTTGTTCAAGGTGACATTTTAACAATTTCACCGACCGTCGTCGTCAAGATCCCTGGACTCGCAGTAATTGATGCTCTTGGTCTTTCTGTGATGAAGAAAAAGTAAAACATGTCGAGTTGGAACGTTTGCACAATAACTGTCTCGCTTGGCGTGTTGACAAACCTTGCCGGTCGATCCATTTGACGCAAGCTTTTCGACAAGCAAACTCGATTGCTTTACAACGTTATTAGATGAGTTAACTCAAGTAAAAATAAATAAATGAAGAGAAAAGATTTTAGCGCACTGCGGCGATCTGAGAACGATCCTTGACATGCTTTGTTGTCAATTTGATTTTGAAGCCAACCCGCCAGAACGGAGGAGAAGTGACGAAAAGCCACATCCGATCAGTTGGCCCCGGTAGTGCAACTAAGTGTCGAATCTGCTGTGGTGAAATAGCTCACTCTGGCGTTCAAGCTGATGAAGTTAAAAATACGTGTGCGTGTATGTTAAAGTGAATAAATAAAGCCATTTTTTTGTATGTATGATCGTCTCATTTATGTCCACAGTGATGGCATCCTCAACGTGATGACCAAATTGTCCCTGAAATGGCCTTTTCACACCCAATTGGTTTGACACAGGACTTCTTGAGAGTGTCATTAATTTCATGGATACGTTTTTACAAAAGTCATGTTGCTCAGTCAAACTGGCTTGTGTGGCTGAACTCTCACTCCCAAACTCGAACTTGAACATGTTATCTCGTCTTTTCTCACTGTTGATGAGGTAAGTGCACAACGTTCCAAATGTCTTCATTCCTGTTATGAAAGGTTGTAAGACTTCTTGTCGCTTCAGCTGCTCACCACTAGATGTCAGTGTTAACTTGTTGCAGTCTCACGCCTGCCTGCCTTGTATCACCTGAGGAAGAACAAACCAGGAAGCTTCTCGGTGAGATTGAGGGGGTCAATACACCTGATAACTTGCAGCAAACACTCCTGATTTCCTCTACCACCCCCCCCCCTTCTTCTCTGCAGCCTCTTGTTTGACTAGATCCAGAGCGTCGAACTTTATTTTCTTTTGGCGCACCCCCAAAGCTGCAGTCAGGACCATCAAAAAGGTACGATCCAGCCTCAAATCAAAACTTCTTGCTGTTCACGTCCACCAGGTGGCGCTGAAGCATCTCAAGAGAATCTGCTCATTATCTCTTTTAGGTTGTGACGCAAAGTTGGACTTGATGAATCCAAGTGCAAAAGTACCTGAGAAGAGTATTTCGTTCTTGCGGTGTCTCCATTTCTTTTTTTTCTCTTCACAGTGTGGATTCCTGGAGGACATGGACATGATGAACGACCATTATACGACTGCATGGAGCAAAAAAAGTGGTAAGCACCACTTTTTGTACTATGATGACCATGCAGTTGTGCTCAAAAGTAGTCTCCCCCCCCCCCCCCCGTTGTGTCCGCCCTTCACTTTAGTTATTTGATTGATGAAGAGTTGTCATTCACTTCAGGGTATGCCTGATGCTTGAAACGAGGTCCCTAATAATGTCTGTCTGTGAGTTTCACCACATCGAGAGAGCGATTTTGAGGTATTGATTGCCATCGATCAGTAATGACTGTTGGAGCCGCAAGGCCCGCCCTTCTCCACTAACTACCAATCGGGATCCTTCTTTCCTCCACTGACTCGTTCCTATTCACATCAAATAGATTTCCATCGACTAGTTATGTCTGATTGTGGGTTTGCCTGATAGATTTCTAGCAATTTATGCTCGTCTTATCGACTTGTAATGTCTTATGAGTTTCATGTGCTCAATGGATTTCCATCAACTAGTAGTGTCTGCTCATGCGTTTGAGAGAACCTGTCCATCGACTTGCAGTGTTTACTATTTACGGTAGTTAGTCTGAATGATGGGTTTATATCAACTCATCATGTCTTTGATGATTTTCATGCGCTTGATGGATTTCCATCGACTATTCATGTCTGCTTAAGAATTTCACCCATCTCGCAGCCATTCAGGACCTTTCCTTCCTTTGTGTGCGCCCACCGATGCTCCCTTTGTAGACGGCTCGCTATCAGCTGGGCTTGCGAGTGAGCTTGATGCACTTTCCATCGACTCGTCATGTCTGCTTGTCAGTTCCACCTAATAGATGGCTAATGAATAGCTCTGTGACAATAAAAAGGAGTGCTATTATCTCACACCGGTGCACCGATGCGCCCCACAGCAGCCTTATTATGCACACAAGGCATCCAAATATGGAAACAGAGGAAGGAGAAAAAAAAGCGCAGAGCAAGCAAGCGTTCCGCTCGTCACGGCGACACGCCGGCAACATTGTGCCTCGGTCATGTATAATAGATAATTCATATTCGGCTGAATATTGAATGTGCCGCTGCCGCGATGTAATTTTAATCGACGCCCGCAGTGAGACACGAGAGCCCAGAGCAGGCGGGGTTCCACCTCCTGCATCCCGGCTTTTGTTTTTCCCTTGTGAAAGACGACGGGAACGTGGAGGAAGTTTCGTGACGAGTCACACATTGTCAGTTTGATTGTCATTTTAGCTGAAGGGACAGTGTTGCATTTTATTTTTTAATGAGATAAATAACTTTCTATACTTTTTTTTTGCTTTATAAAAATCATACACAAAAGACATAATGAGAGAAATAATTAGACAGTGTTTGCTTTAGTTCAATGCACGTTGTGTGGATGGAGTGTGAGCCTTGGCAGTGATGAGTCATTTTTCACAACAAATAAATAATCCACGCCTCTATGTATCGTTTATATTGTCTACCTCTCTGTGCTGCTCCACCATTTGTATCTGTTGTGCAAAAAGGTTATGACATAGCACAGACGCTATTCGTTAGCCCGTCATTGGCATTTTGCATTGTTTCTTAGCATGAAGCTAAACTGGCTTTATTAAGCGCTGTGTCAGTGTGTGTGTGGTTGTTTGAATAGAAAATGTATTCTTGTCTAAATAGAATACTGATGATGATAAATCAGAAACGTTGAAGACTTTTATTCTAAATAGTTATTAATGAGGTTAAAAAAAAAGAGACATTTTCCAATATTCTCTGTTCTGTCCACACACACGTACACACGCAGCGTTCAAAAAAAGCCGAGCATGCCTGACGGCTGGCCACAACA